AAGTTCATCATGAGTTCCCTAATAAAAATGCAATAATTGTCATAAGTGTTTAAATGGCTAGAGAACAATTTCGAAAAATAATTAGAAATTAATATTACCTGTTCTGCTACTTGCCCATCTTTGATGCTATATATAAATTATATAAAGTTTGTATTAATTTAAACTGTAATCGTTAATTGATAAGATAATAATAACAATAAAAAGTAATCTAACCAAAGAATCAAGTCAGCATTAATAATAGTACTCAAACGATGCGCAATAACCAATGTCGTACGATCTTTAGTTATATTGGCGAGTGCATGTTGAATCTGTCTTTCTGTGGTCGTATCAAGGGCAGAGGTAGCTTCGTCGAGTAGAATAATCTAGGTTGAATGTTATGATTTAAACATATTAGCTTTTATTTGGATATGAAAATCTTTAACAAAATAATAAAAAATGATATAAACCGCTGGGTCCTAATCATAAATCAATATTAATGAATGAGTTTAAACAAATAACATTAAATAGATAATAAATAAATAAATAAAAAAACCACAAACCTTCAATATCGTCCTTGCAATCGCCACACGTTGTTTTTCACCACCACTTAAACGCAAACCACGTTCTCCAACACGTGTCTCATAACCTAAAAAATAAACATATTTATCCTATTTATTCTATTTATCCTATTTATCACGCATCTTTTTGTAAATAGACACAAACCATCCGGGAATGTTAATATACGATCATGGATTTGGGCAGCTTTTGCAGCTTTGTAAACGTCATCTTCCGGTGCATCGATATTTCCGTAATGAATATTGTATAAAATCGTATCATTAAATAAAACAGTGTCTTGAGGTACAACGCCAATATTTTTTCTCAAGCTTTCTTGTTTAACAAGTCGAATATCTTGACCGTCAATAAGAACACGACCAGTTTGAACATCATAAAAACGGAATAAAAGTCGAAGAATGGTTGATTTACTATTATTATACAAATTTGATCGAATGTTATTAAAAAAATAAAATTGTTTAATAAACAACGAAATTTTGTGTTATAATCTAAAAATACATACCCGCCACCACTAGGCCCCACTAAAGCAACAGTTTTTCCTTTAGGAATTGTGAATGAAATATTTTTTAATGCTGGATGTCTTGGATCATAAGAAAATCCAACATTTTCTGTTTTTATCAATAGCAAATTAATTTTCATTCATGTAAGATATTATTAATAACATTGATAACAAATATTAAATTGAAATTATAAATTGAAATTAATAAATTTACCGAATATAACAGATCCTTCAGTGACCTTTAATTCAGTGGCACCGGGTGCATCCTGAACACTTTGTTGCTCCTCGAACAAGTCCAACATTTTTTCCATATCAACGAAATTTTGCTGAATCATTCTATAATATGTACCGAAAAAGTTGAGCTATTCATAGATTCAAAGTTATTGTTAATCATTACTGTATATAAATATAATTCGAATATAAATTTAAAATCAAGTCAATGGAGAAATAATAAATTTACCGGTGAATATAATTGATTAATATATGTTACAAACAAAATGAAGTCACCAACAGTGAAAATATGCTGAGTGACCTTATAAGAGCATAACAAACAACCGGCCAACAAACCCATGGTAATCACAAGGTTTTGACTAAGATTGAGAATGTTAAGTGATGAAGCGACTTTATAGTCAGCAACTTGATATTTTCTGATCGCTTCATCATAACGTTGAACTTCAAATCGTTCCGCATTATAGTATTTAACAGTTTCGAAATTTAAAAGCGAGTCGACTAAAATTTAAACGTAAAAAAGAGTTAATTTAATTTACAATTATAAAGGTCATCTAAATAATCAACATACCAGCTTTAGCCCGAGAATCATTATCTAACTCAATCATTTCACGTCTGAATTTAGTTCGCCATTCAGTAATCCATACAGTCGCAAAAATATATAACGACATAGTAATAAATACTATTAAACCAAACATCCATCCGAATTCGACAATAAAGAATATAACTGCAACAAAGATGTCCACAATTACAGGAAATATCTGGAACAATATTTGATTCAATAATGAAATAATACTGTTTGTTCCACGGTCCATAACACGCAGTACTTCACCCGTTTTACGATTGATATGATATGATAAAGAAAGGCTATATTACAAAGGGAATGGATAATGAATGTATGGATAGAAAAAAAATAAAGAAAATAATATAAGAATCGTAATCGATAATTACCCATGCAAATGCTCAAACATCCGGACAGAAATCTCACGAGTTGTATACTAATGGGTTTTTATATATATAGCGTTAATTTATGAAATAATCAAAGTATAACGTTATTATAATATATGTTAAAAATCATTCGTACTTGTCCAATAGGAATCCATAAATAATTTTGAGTAGCTTGAAGTAAACCAACACCACTTTGCAAAAACCTCAGAAATACATAT